TCAGCTACTGAATATTCATGGAATCAACAAAATAATTCACAAAATTTTTAGGCACCACCCCAAAATGAGTCTGGCTGTTGTAAACTGGTGTCAAGGACAGAAGAGCATAGTGAGATAGTCACTGTATCCACTGATACCCACATCAATACATCCCTGCACTGTTATATTGCCAAGCCAGTGTGGTGCTTTTCAGCATTAGTATAAGGGAATTTTCATTTTCACCTCGCAAAATCATTTAACAGAGTGGATTCTAGTCTGAAGGCCATTTTCATTTCTGATCAAAATACCTGAGGATGGAGGGGAGAGATAGACCTGTGTTGGGAATTATCACTGCAAGGGTCTATCAGCATGGAAGAAGGATCTATCAATGCAAAGAACAATAGGAAATAAACTTGGATATTGAGGTTACATGTAAGTGAGATACCAGCAAGTAGAATTGCATTTGTGTGTGTGCATGTGTGTGTGTGTGTGTGTGTGCAAGGATGTGTGCACGTGTGTTTGCTGGTGTGCACACAAGTAAGCATATGCATTTGTGAGTGAAATATTTTAATAATACAGTTACACAACATAACAAACATTTGTGTCGGATACCCGTTTTATATATATATATTTGCCGATGATGAAGTAAAGGCTGTTATGAAAACTTAATATTACAGTATGTCATTAGTTGATCTGATCATTATCTATTTTTGATTAACTCTTTGTAATGATCCTAATGATTGCTTTTCGTTTTCAGTCTGATTTACCAAGGCATTATTCTGTGGTAAAGGAGATGGTTAGGTTTTGATGGCATAGCTCTTTCAAGGTAGCTAGTTTACTGGTACATTTACCATGTTTTGATATTTTTGAGAAAATATTGTCCTGTAAATATCATGCAAAGAGAATTCAATTGTATTTGGTCAAGAATTGTATCCTTCATTAAAAAAAAGAAATTCCCAAGCCTAGATTGAAGTTTGTTGAAGCCTGGTTTTGTAAATTATATTTATATATTTTCTGATACCCCTCCTGTTCTACAACAAATGTTTTTGCTCCTCACATGAATGAGGACGCGCTGGTTTTGTTCATCATCTTAATTGGCAATTTGTAAATGGAAATTTAATCTTTTGTATGGTGCATATATTGGCATAGGCCTACAATAAAGGTCATCTTTGAAATTAAAGTACCTTTCCATGCAATTACACTAAGTAATGGTCATTTCAGTACATCTGTATGTTTGTCAAGTTAGAAGATGGTAAAAACAATAACCCAATAATACCCTCATTGGGCAATGATACGATGGAAAAGTGATTACAAGACAACAAATACTGGTAGCTTTAAAATTAAATGAAGTCTCAATGTTACTTGTCAGTTTCAGATGCGGGTATCTAATAATGGTTATTGAAAAAGCAGGCAATTGTGCACAATGAAGGTCCAATTCGACACCAGATGCAAATCAATATAATGAAGTGGTTGATGATGTTTTGGAAGGAAATTGGAAGTTTTTCAACACAATCAAAATTTTATTTACTCTATTTACTCTAAAGAAAGACATGTTTTCCTTTGGCCTCATACATTGTCAGTGTAGGCAGTAGGTAATATAAATAATTATTTATGGTTTTAGTGTCATTGTGAATACTATATATGATTGCCATATCATTGAAATGATGTTTCTTATTTTTAATTTTTATCCATGTTCATTTTAATCACATCATTTGTCAACACTGTTGAATCATATATCATCTGCATGGTGCTGCAAGTAATTATTCCATTTAAATCTAGATGATGTTTCAACTGTAGACAAGTACTGGTATTTTTGCTGCAATGGTTGTGCTTTGATTTTTCCTGTGTGTCTGTTATATTTATAAACAGATACTTACTGGTAAGTAGAAAGCAGAGTACGGTGATCCGATCATGGGGCGATTTTGTTAAGCCACATGTGCAAGTGCAATATATTGACCCTGTAAATTTTGAGATATGTTTGTACATTGTATATATTGGCTGCCAGTGTTTCACTTGTGCAATACTAAGACTAGACTAAGAAATAGGTACTGTCCAACACCATATCAGCGTAACTCGTTTCACCAAATGATATTTTCTGATGCATGTAATAATTGTTATCGGCCTTTGTCCGGGAATGCAATTTTCTTCTGTATTAAACACTGTTGATATTACTGCAAAGAAAATAAAATAACAGTAATTTTGTATTTTGAATAACCTTTATGAGCTGTTAATTTGTTGTGGCCATTAGACCTTAATGATATCAGGCACTGGTAAATATTTCAATAAATCAAGAGTTGCTTTTGGGAATTGACAGTTAATATAAATCGGGTAGGTTTTAACCTGGTGGCTTATAGAGCACATTCTACTCTTAAGGCCTTAATTGTTTGTCATGTGTCACAAAAGTACACTGTGTTCAACATAGCCTCAGCTGCTCAGGTCACCTGCATATCCATTCTAATTAATCAACATTTGATAACTGTTCATCCATGCAATCATCACAATGCATCTTTGAAAACCTATTTCTTTACTATGCAGGTGTTTTGGTTGTTTGCAATTGTTGACTGAATCATTAGTAATGTTTTTGTCTTAACTCCCCATATTCAGGGGGTATTACTGTAACACTGCTGAACACATAATATGTGTAGTTGATATTTTACATTCCCTGTATTTTGAATTACAAACTGAATGTGTGTGGGAAACAGTTTTATTTATTTACGTGTATATATGCCTGCCCAAATTCAAGCCGAATTTCATTTCCACCATCAGACTCGTTTCAAAAGATTCTGGGTATGTTCATTATAAATGTGTAATGGTATCAGGTTAATAAAAAAATTCTTCAGACATTGTGAAATTATAATGTTGTAACTCACCTCAGTATATGGCATTTGTAGCAGTTATGACACTGGTAGACTCGTGGTTTTGCTAAGGGGGGAGGGGGGGCAAAGAATTAAAGATTTTTGAAAGCATACAATGACAAATTTTACAATAATATTTAGGTCACAGGGATGAAAAATTCATTGTTTTGTCTTGCTTTTTATTTGGAGGTAGAAGTGGTAACTTTGCATTCCAATTACTAGTTACTACTTGTAATATAAAATGACACCAAAAAAGATTTATGCATAGCCTTTACTTCTATTAAAACTTTGCAAAAATTACAGATAGAGCATTCCAAAGCAAAACAGTGGACCGTACCAATTACTTTAAAAATATTATCTAAATATTGTAATTAAAACCCTCTATATAATTACCTATCAGCTTTATAATCCAAATTAATAATCAGTAAAAATGAAAATTTAGCAATTAAAGTAACCTTATCCTGGATCTTACTTTTTGCATGATATGACAACTCATCTCAATATAACTCAATAGCCAAAGTACTTTTTCTTAGAAGAATTATGAAACAGCCCTAGCATAACACCTGTGATATTAATGTATGTGTATGCAATAACCCATATCCCTCCATGGACCCATTAACTATGATATCAATTATTTTTTATAAAATTGTACCAATAACCTTCACCCACATTTAAAGTTGCTATTGAATTCTCTGGATCATTGGTATAATCTAAAATAATAACCATCCACATCTGATTTAAAGTGCACTTCTAATCCAGAACAAAAAAAAAAAAAAAGTACACTTGTGATGAAGTGGTTATTCCTCAGTTACACTTGAGAAAATCTGAAAAGCAGTAACATGCAATTCTCCCTAGAGGAATGATTGTGTGCACCCAGCACTCCTCAGGAGGAAGAGGGTTAGAGTATGTTAGTTGGGGTGGTGGTTAGGCCCAGGCTAGGATCATCGATTTTCTCAAATGCCAATCTGAACAATTTCCCCTATCATCAGAAGCACAAATTTTAAAAATACTACTCTCAATAAAATTGACAGAAATGTGGACAGTCAAAACTGTAGGCAATACCAATGTTTCAGATGAATCCATCACATTTCCCATGTAGACACTTACGGAAATTTCCTATTGGGCTATTGGACTCTGTTGGAATCCTATAAAAGTATAGGAATTCTATCAGATGTCCAGTAGGAAACTACTGATCGACTCTTACGCCCGTTTAGCTATCAGGATGTTTACAAACGCTAGTGAAAAAATACATTTTGACTAATTCAACTTAATGCAATCATATCTAACCTACTTACATCTAGCTAAATAAAGTATACTTTAACAATATGTTTAAAATATGTTTTGTCTTTGCAAGTATTTGTGAATTCAAAATGATTTTCATGTAAGCAGATATGCGTATATTGACAAAATCTTTCCATTAAACAGCACTGTGCTATAGTATTGCTCACTGTCTATGTCTATACTTAATCCATGGTCCAAAATATCTCAAAAATGCTCAATATGCAAAGATGACATCAATCCCACAATTAAACAATACCTAATTGTGAAATAAATATTAAAACTAAATAAAAATCCTATGAAGTTATCTTATCACATCATTACTATTCTACTTTGATAATAGTTGATTTCCAATCTAATTTTGATAGTATATAGACAGATTCAGTGGGTATAAGCACATGGAAACACTGTCAAGGAGTTTTGTACTTTAAATGTAGATTTCTGTCAGGAGATTTAATTTCACTTGTCATCTTCCATTTGGAGGTTCAAGACTTATTCAAAATGTTCTTGCAAAGCCTCTTTTGCTATCCTGGAAGTTGAAATTATATCTTCATTAAAGAACATGGAGACCGATGGCAAGCTTGTAACAAGTAAATGTATATACCGGCCAAGTTTGGACATTTTGCAAGTCAATCTGTAAATGCTGGGGTTTCATCAGGCCAAGAAGGCACAGTACTTAACATCTTGAAAATGTTGTTTTCATTGCCTAGTATGGATCGATATACAGTTCATTGGGTAATAATGTGTTCTGACAATTTTTTCCAAATAAATGTAAAAAATAATGTAAACAATTTCAGATAGTTGCTTTCCCAATGACTTGCCTTAAAGCATTATCTATCCCAGTGGTAATGGAACACCACCTGCTTCTATAGTTTCCCTTGGCTACCTTGCTAAAACAAGTTACGAAGCCCTATAAGAGTGTGCCATGGATATGTTTTATTTTGCGGAGTTGTCATTATCCATTTCTGAGGTCTCTGCTGCTGGTAGCCTAAAAGTTCAAAAACTTATACATTCTACAAAAAGTATAGGAAGAGAGATGGAAATTAAGCTTGGAACATGATATACCCTTAATTAGTGCATATACACTCTAAAAGGGTTTCTTTATGTTACATCTTCTGTATCTTTAAAAATTAAAGGAAAGTAGTCCTCCCTGCCTACAACCCAGAACCTCAACCCAAAAATACTTACTTGCTACTAACCTATTTAGTCCCATGGTCAGTGGCTAAGGAGACGTATTGCCTTGTCCAAGTGAACCATCTGGTCAAGGTATAGCTTAGGGCTTGTTGATGCTGTGTGTGATCTTTATCTGATGGGAATCCATCACCATGTGAAAGCAGCCTGTCTCAAAAATGTGGCTTAGGGTCAACTAATTATTGTATTGTATTGGCTTGTCCTAGTGAACCATCTTGCTGATGTGGCTTTGGACTTGTTGATGCTGGGGTTTGGTCTTTATCTGATGGGAATCCATCACCATGTGAAGGCAGCCCGTTTCACAAATGTGGCTGAGGGTTGACTAATGCCATCATCTTCATATCCTTGAAAGAGAAATCAAAGGGAATTAGTTCCTATCTGCCTACAGACTGTGACCTCAACACAATACTACCGAGTACTTACCTCCATCTTACTTACTCCCATGGTCAGTGGCTAAGGAGACGTATTGGCTTGTCCTAGTGAACTATCTGGCGGATGTGGCTTAGGACTTGTTGATGCTGGGGTTTGGTCTTTATCTGATGGGAATCCATCACCATGTGAAGGCAGCCTGTCTCAGAAATGTCTCTAAGGGTTGACTAATGCCATCATCTTCATTTCCTTGAAAGAGAAATCAAAAGAAATTAGTTCCTGTCTCCCTACACCCTGTAACCTCAACCCAATACTACTTACCTTCATCTTACTTACTTACTCCTATGGTCAGTGGCTAAGGAGACGTATTGGCTTGTCCTAGTGAACCATCTGGCGGATGTGGCTTAGGACTTGTTGATGCTGCGGTTTGGTCTTTATCTGATGGGAATCCATTACCATGTGAAGGCAGCCTGTTTCACAAATGTGGCTGAGGGTTGCTTACTGCCATCATCTTCATTTCCTTGAAAAAGAAATCAATGGAAATTAGTTCCTGTCTCCCTACACCCTGTAACCTCAACCCAATACTACTTACCTTCATCTTACTTACTTACTCCCATGGTCAGTGGCTAAGGAGACATATTGGCTTGTCCTAGTGAACCATCTGGCAGATGTGGCTAAGGACTTGTTGATACTGGGATTTGGTCTTTATCTGATGGGAATCCATTACCATGTGAAGGCAGCCTGTCTCAGAAATGGGTCCAAGGGTTGACTGATGCCATCATCTTCATATCCTTGACAGAGAAATCAAAGGAAATTAGTTCCGGTCTCCCTACACCATGTAACCTCAACCCAATACTACTTACCTTATCTAACTTACTTACTCCCATGGTTAGTGGCTAAGGAGACATATTGGCTTGTTCTAGTGAACCATCTGGCAGATGTGGCTAAGGACTTGTTGATGCTGGGGTTTGGTCTTTATCTGACGGGAATCCATTACCATATGAAGGCAGCCTGTTTCACAAATATGGCTGAGGGTTGCTTACTGCCATTATCTTCATATCCTTGAAAGTGAAATCAAAGGAAATTAGTTACGGTCTCTCTACACCATGTAACCTCAACCCAATACTACTTACCTTCATCTTACTTACTTACTCCCATGGTTAGTGGCTAAGGAGACGTATTGGCTTGTCCTAGTGGACCATCTAGCAGATGTGGCTAAGGACTTGTTGATGCTGGGGTTTGGTCTTTATCTGATG